ACTTTGTTAGTAACTGCTATTGCTGGATTGAAGCCCAACTCAATGTTTCGTTGGACCTTATGTCAAAATAAGCCTGCTACATTTCAAGAGTTTCTTGTACGAGCTCAACAGTTCATTATTGCCGAAGAATCCATGTCGGTCCCCAGTTTCAACTTCTCGGTAAAAGAAAGCAAGGCTGAACCAGATGTTAAAAAGAAAAACAAGAAGAACTTTGGGAAAGCACAATTTCGGAACTCCTCTAAAGGATATGAAAATACTCCAGAGTCTCGGGCTGCTCGTGATCAATATTCGGACAATGTCAGGACAGGTTATCATGCCATTTATTCCGCTGGAGCAGCCACCATATACGAGGAACTGAAAGGAAAGGGAATTATCCCAGACCCGAGGCCTGTGAGAACTCTTGAAGACAAGTTGGATAAAACTCGGTACTGCGCATACCATAAATCTCCAGGACATAATACCGACGAGTGTCTTGGTCTTCTGTCGGCACTCTTACGTTTAATCGGACAACCCCAGCTTCAAAAGTTTCGAAATTTTGATAACCGCCGGAAAGGAAGGCCCTTAGATCTTTCAGACGACGAAGATGAGGACAACCGACCTGCTAACCAGAAAAGGGCTCGTGCAAACGATAAGGAAGTTTTTACGTTTTCTACTCATGTCGGAACTTCGACCGACAACCACAGGAAACCTAAGATACATGATCCCGCAGATTTTTCACATTGCATACCTCGAGTCAACTCCAATAACAAACAGTTAGATACGTCTCGACGGAAAGTCAAAGCTTATGCTCGGGAGGCTCAGAATGCTGAGAAACGAGTCATGAATGTTGATCTCCGAGATACCATTAACAAACGGAATTTCCCTATTACGTTCAGTATTGAAGACGCTAACTTGTTCGCTCATCCTCATTCTGATGCTCTTATTATAACCGCCCCGATTGGGGGAATTCCTGTTCATCGGATCTTAGTCGACACATGAGCGTATTCAAGTATCTTAATGCTCCGTACTTTCAAGAAATTGGGTTTGGACCCAGCATACATTAGACCGTGTAACGATCAGATTCAAGGTTTCAATGGAAGCATTTCTTGCCCCATTGGCGAAATATTGCTCCCCATCCGATTTGGAGGCTTTGGACCGAAGTCCAAGATCATTATGGAAACTTTTAAAGTCTTGGATGTCCAAAATGAATATAATGCTGTAATAGGACGAACCGCACTTTATAAACTTCGTGCTGCTGTGTCAATTTTTCATTACGCCCTGAAGTTCCCTACCATTGAAGGAGAAGGCACTCATTATGGAGATCAACGAGAAGCCCGAAGTCTGATGTTTCTTTCAACCTCGCGTAGCTTTCATATGATGAGAAAACAAGATGTTGATGACTCCGTTGAGCCAAGTAATTCAACTCCTGATGTTGAAAGAACCGATCAGTTCACCCCGGATACCAACATGCCTCAAGCAGAGATCAACTTGCCGCTTGTCGATACCGACGTCCCTATGACGTCGGTCTTACCTGAAACATCAACTAAAATCCCTGATCAAGAACAACCTTTTCATGAAAAAGACATAGAAATGCATGAGGATATAGACCCAAGGATGCAGTTCAAAGATGGAAGTCATCATGTCCGAGCAGAACCTGTTGAAGATATCGAGATCATTTACGTGGATGGGTCAGATCAGCAGAAATCGTTGCGTATTGGGGTCAACCTGCAAGAACCCATTCGGTCAAATTTGATTCAATTCCTCAAGTCAAACACTGATGTATTCGCTTGGAAGCATGAAGACATGAAAGGGATCGACCCACAGAAAGCATGCCATCGTCTCAATTTGGATAAAACTGTTAAACCTGTTATTCAGAAACGTCGGAAATTTGGCCCAGATCGCCAGAAGGCCCTTGAAGAAGAAGTAAACAAGCTCATAGATAATAAATTTGTCAAGGAAGCCAAGTACCCGACGTGGATATCGGATCCTGTTTTGGTTAAGAAAGCCACCGGCCTTTGGCGTCTCTGTATAGATTTTTCAGACTTGAATCAAGCGTGCCCGAAAGACAACTACCCCATTCCACACATTGATTACATGGTAGACGCTACGTCGGGACATCAACTTATGAGTTTTCTGGATGCCTATTCAGGCTATAATCAGATTCCCATGCACCCTGACGACGCTGAACATACCTCATTCTACTCAGCTCGAGGCCTTTATTGCTACGTTATGATGACTTTTGGATTGAAGAATGCAGGGGCCACATATCAAAGATTGGTCAATAAGATGTTTGCTCGCTTAATCGGCCATACAATGGAAGTTTATGTAGACGACATGTTAGTAAAGTCAGAACAGGCCTCTGACCATATCGCTCATCTCTCCGAAGTCTTCGATATACTCCGAGAATATTCTATGGTGCTTAACCCCAAGAAGTGTACTTTCGGAGTTGGATCAAGGAAGTTTCTAGGATATATGGTGAGCCAAAGAGGGATCGAAGCCAATCCCGCCAAGATTCAAGCCATACTTGACCTAGCTCCCCCGACATCTCTCAAAGGTGTCTAAGCTTTAACTGGTCGACTGGCAGCCCTTAATCGGTTCATTTCAAAGTCAACAAATCATTGCAAACCGTTCTTTGACGCTATCAAAAAGAGGAAACCGTTCGAATGGACCACGGAATGCCAGGATGCTTTTGACAACATTAAACAAGTTCTCTTGCAGTTACCGACGTTACAAAAGCCACTTCCTGATGAATCTCTCTATTTGTATCTTGGTGTAAGTAACGTTGCTGTTAGTGCTGTTCTTATACGACAAGATGGACTTCAACAGTTTCCGGTATATTATGTTAGCAAGGCTTTACATGACGCTGAATTGCGATATCCGCATATGGAGAAGTTGGCCTATGCTCTGATCATTGCTGCACGAAAGTTGCGCCCATATTTTTTGGAGCACCCAATTGTTGTGTTTACGACATACCCTCTCCGACAAGTCCTTCACCGACCTGACACGTCGGGAAGAATGATTAAATGGGCGATAGAGTTGGGGCAGTTTGATATCCAGTATCGGCCGCGAACCGCTATCAAAGCCCAAGTACTGTCTGATTTCATTGCTGAATTTACTCCCACTGTTGACTCATCCATTGAAGATCAGACATGGACTCTCTACATTGACGGATCGTCCACCGCTATACGAGCTGGGGGAGGAATCGTCTTGGTCAGTCCCGATCAGCAAGTGTTTTGTTACTCTGTGGCATTTACCTTCCAGGCCACCAACAATGAAGCCGAGTACGAGGCCCTCTTGTCAGGTTTACACTTTGCCGAATCCATGAATGTTTCCTCTCTCCGGATATTTTCCGACTCTCAGTTATTGGTCAGCCATATCAATGGTACTTATGAAGTCAAAGAACCACGGTTGTTACCTTATTTTGATCTTGTCAAAAAGAAGCTGGCACGGTTTAAAATGACGTTAGAGCATATACCTCGGTCATCCAATATTCAGGCAGATGCTCTTTCACGATTAGCCTCATCAACCGACTTGAATAATGTTGAGTTTGTGCAAATTACCCAACAGGCCACTTC